AATAAGAAGTTCTGCTGCCGAGGTCCCCAATTCCTCGCTTCCAAGATTTCTTGTTCGAACTAAATCGTTCGAGAAATATATCGGAATAGAGAGGAGAAACAGAGTCCTATCGACAAACCTTTCTAAATTCCAAATTAAATAAACAGTTAGAAAAGAAATATTATAATATTTAAAGAATATCAAGATCCACATGATCGCTTGTCAATATATATCAAAGACGTCGGTGAAAGACCGAATATTTGAATTTATTATTTATATTTCGGACATATATATCAAGCGACCATGTAAATCTTGACATTCTTCAATTTCGGTTCACATACATATATAATTATATACCCATACACCAAGCATAAACCCCACATAAATAATTGAAATATATTATAAAAGAAAAGAAAAAAAAAAAGAAAGAAAGAAATAAAAGAGAAAAAAAGAAAAGAAAAGAACGAATTGTCTATGCAGACGCAATCATGAAAATGCAGTTTGGCAGACGTCCTAATCGTTAGTCGAGGAAAGTGTAGGAACGAACGCGTAAGTAGGTTCTCTCGTCGCTTTGGTATCCAGTTAACGAGAGAGAGAAGACGGCGCGAACTAGAAAAGGGATCTTCGAGAATAGACGTCGCGATAGCGCGGAAACGGCCTTAAAGACTCTTAAATCCTCTTCACGAGGGAGAGCAGTGAAGTCCTCTTTCTTTCTTTCTTTCTTTCTTTTTTTCGTTCTTTCTTTCTTTCTTTCTTTCTTTCTTTCTTTCTTTCTTCCTTTCTCGAGACGACGCGACGGCGAGAAGTTGACACAGGGGACAGGTGGATCTAAATAAAGACTGGACCGACGCCAGGAGCCACAAAGATGGCCGACACCGAGACGCGAGACGTCGTCGTCGTCGTTGCTTCGTTCGTTCACGACAACGACCACTTCTTTTTATTATCTTCTTTCTTCTTCTTGTCAGGACTAACTTCATGCATCCTAATTTTTCTTTGTGTTCAAAATTCACTTCTATTAACCGAATTGAAACATTTTGTTCCCCCATCTTTTTAACACGATACGATACGTTTATTAAAAAAAAAAAAGAAATCATGGTCGCGATGGTAAAAAATAAAAAAAGAAAAATAGTAAGAATTTGCAAGACAACAACGTCTATGAGATTCGAATAAGAGAACAAAAAACATCTGGAATTTTGGATGAAAGGAAAAAAAAAGAGAAAGTTGAAATGTGCTTCTTCCGTGTTGGAAGAAGCATCGCGGACGCGTCGGCGGGCTGGCTGGACGGTGTTAGATTTCACTTATCCCACCTACGTTTCGCTAATTCGAGGACACGCGTTTTCTGCCACGTGGTGGTAGAATGAAGAGAAGAAGAACGTGACGTAAGCAATATCCTTGCCAATTACGCCTTCACTTAGAGACGCATAGAAACTTACTTACGTTACATGTATTCGCGCGCATCTACTAGACGATTATTCTCATTGGCTAACCATTAATTTATAACGCCCACTATGTTGCGTCCCCATCGAAAATAAATCCCAACGCAACAATATTTAAAACTTTTCTTATGCGTGCCAAATGCGCGCGCGCGTTCATGCCAAATGCCAGAGTAGTACGAGATTCGAAACTCGCGCCAAATCTCTCTCTCTCTCTCTCTCTTTCTTTATTTCTATCTATCTCTATCTCTATCTCTCTTTATCCCTTTCTCTTGAATTTCCATGACATATTAATAAATGAGCCGGTATAAAGGAGACACATATAACACTTTTGAAACGTTCTCTTTCTCGTGAACGACGAGACGACGACCAAATATCTCTGGAAAGATGCGAAGAGCTTTGCATGGGGCCTGAATCGCGGAGCACTTGCAAAAAAGAACGAATTCTCCTCGTCCATGGGGTCGAAAGCGCGTATTCACGATTCTTCGCTCATTCTTCTCTCTTTCACGAACGCGTCCGAGTCTTTTCTTCAGCACCTTTCGAAAAAAGAAGTCTGAAATTTTCTTTTCTTTTTTTCTTTTTCTTTTTCTTCAAGTTGTTATAATTAAATTCTAAAAAAAAAAAATTCAATAATAAGAAAGAAAAACCACCAAGTACAACACCAAAAAATAAAAAATACAACACCAATAGCGACACCAAGTGTAGTGTAAGCTTTCACCACACACACAAGGTTATTATTAATATTACAGTGGTTAGCGGAGCCTGTACATTCGACTAGACTCTCTCTCTCTCTCTCTCTCTCTTTATCTACTCTTTCTCTACTCTTTCTCTACTCTTTCTCTACTCTTTCTTTCCTCTTTACTCTATCTTCCGATTCTCCACCTATCTCTCTTTTTTTCTATTTATTTGTCCATGTTCCAAAAAGAGACTTCCGGTTTTCCGCGAAACTTACGACACGTGCCAATACGATATGCCGATTCACCGTACTGTGTATCACTCTAACGATATCTACTAAACGATTAACTAAGGAATTTTCAAAACTTATCTACCGATTTAATTACATTCTCGCGATTATTTCTATTTCGAAAGCAAAAATGTATTACTTTACAATTATTTTTAAATAATAAACGAAACGAAATGAATAATTTAAATGATAAGGAATAAGTTATTCGAAAAAAGTGAAACAGGAAAATTTGAGAGAAATTGGGAATGTAAAAAAATCGTTTCCTCGTTATTCTCATTCAATCATAACTAACATAAGAAGTTTCGTTCGGAAAGTAACACGGAACAATCTGGTCGTGCCAAATAAGGTTGAACCGCGATAAAATCGATAGAAATGTAATAAAAAATTAACGATGCAGGAAGGTTTGTGTCCTGGGCCAAGCCAGGTCGATTTTTCACGATCGAAACGGCGTGTCGTTCCGCGTTCTCTTTCTAACTCTGTCCTCTCTTTTTCTCTCTTTGTGAAGAGGAGTCCTCGTCGACGTCGCTGATAAAATCTATTTTCGCTTTTAGCCGGACAAAAGGAAAAGAGAGCAGCAACACGCGCACGCGCTCCTTTTCGTCCGGCGCGAAAGAATAAATATTTGCGTTGAGTTAAATGGCTCCCGGAGACGTGAACGAAAATCTCTATTTTATCCCTACGGGAATTTTTCAACGCGTTCCGTTGTTCCTTGCTACATACGTACAATGCTACACACACACCCGATTACCGATATATTTTTCTATATTTATTTGTCACAGATTCTATATTAACTTTTTTTAAATTACGCTTTTGGAAGTAATTCGAGTATCGGATGATTTTCTCTTGAAGATAATCGAAGAAACAATCGATTCATTAAAACTATGGAAAAGAAGTGTACCGCCACCAGAGGCATCATAGCGAAGACAAAAATAAGAAGGAAAAATAATTAAAATAAGAAATAAATAATTACGTGGGCATACTTACAATCACAGAAACGAGGCGTAACGAATGACGGAAAAATTGAAGATTATAATTCATTGACAATGAGAAAAAAAAGCATTAAAGATTATCGTAGTTTCGATATTCTCTCGATTAATCGCAAATAATCGCATTATTAGGAAAGATCAATATCTATCGCAGATATTAATAATTAATTGTAAAATAAAATTCATTGCAAACGTTTCCATTCTTACTCTTATTTTTAGCCCTCTTATTTCCCCAAAAAAAAATCGTTAAAAGGAAACACAATGTTCGTTTCTTTTTTTTTGTTTTCAATAATTAAAACCAATCGCAAAAAAAAAAGAGAAACGAATTCGAACGCACAGGCATATTGGCTATCTATATCGTTACGTTACACGTTAAAAAGTCGTTATCGTCGTTACCGTGTCATTACTGTGATTATGCTTGATTAAGAAAAGTAAAAGGGTGTGTTGTGTGTGTGTGTGTATGTGTGGGCGTGTAATTGAAGAGTAAATATAAGATTAAAAAAAAATAAAAAAATTAATAAAAGAAAAAAAAGAAAGAGTCAAAACCAGTAAACAAACAATCGCAACTCGCTCAGCAACCGCAATCTCAATTATTCATCACTTCAACGTAAAGTTCACCAAGAAAGTAGAAACATGGAAAGTAAGAAGAAAAAAAAACCACAACTCAAAAAGAAAAAAAAATACGGTAGATGAAAAAGAGGAAGAGACCGAACCCTCCGAAGAAATCTCCCCTGCAAGTAGCGTGTATACTTCATCGAAAGAAATTCGTAGGTACTCGTGTGGCTTCGTATACGTGTGCGTGTGCCGTATATTATCCCCTCTCTCTTTCTCTCTACCTCTCTTTCGCTCAATTTCCCTCTCTCTTTCACTCCCTTTTTCTCACCCTTTCTTTCATAGTTTTCGCGAATATTTCTCCCTCTTTTCTTATATATATATATATAATACATATAAAAAA